CCCACGGTACTAGTCATTGTGAAGCTCTTCTTATTCAGATAACATGGAAAATAAACAATCTTCGTCCAAATTCACTGGAAATGTTCAAGAAGCTGATTTAAGCGACCCATCCCATCCAGAGTGGGTTCATCTTCGTTGGAAATTTCATCGCCATCTCCGTCGTCTGCGAAGCCACGGATAGTTTCTTCATTTCCCTCTTTGGAGATGTTGCAGAGGGTGACACAAGTCTTCACAATATCTCCAGCATATGTGGGACTGACTCTCAAATGAGACAAGCAGGGAAACTTTTCTTTGAGGATTCCAATTGCGTTCTCAATTACTCTTCTTGTTGCCTTGTGAGCACGGTTGAATTTTCTCTCAGTTGTGTTGCTTGGATCATTATGAAGTGGGGGAATAAGCCACGCCTTCAAAGGATAGGCTGAATCTCCTAGAACAATAGCATTAGGAAATGGTCTCTATCCAGCATCCATCCTTGCCATCAAAGAACTGGTTCTCAAAACCACCACATCATTCACGCTTCCGGGCCACCTGCAACTGGCTTAGTAGAATCTGAAATCAGGGCCATAAACGAACATGCAGTTTATGGAGTGATGCCCCTTGCGATCCACAAAGGCTACTTCATTGTCTTTCGGAGCATCGATGCATATCAGAGTACCGTCGATACATCCACAAACACATGGCATGCCTCCCAACGCATAAAACTCACCTGCAGCATGTTCGGCCTCGTTTTGATTTGGCCAGTCGACATGCTTGGGAAACAAGTGAGTGTTAACGGCTTCCACAACTGCTTGTACGCTTCTGCACACTGTTGCTTTTGACACTCCATGCATGTCTCCAATACCATGATATTGACTGCCATTTCCTAACCAGCGGAGTGCCACAATGGTTTGCTGAAAGGGCGAAAGAGCGTGACTGTTTTTTGTTGAGTGTTCTAAATGTGGACCGATGGTCTGCACGATCTCCATAATCTTGGCTGCATTGAGGCGGAAACGTTCATTGAATTCGAACAGTGATGTGAAGTCAAAGTTCATTCTGAGCTTAAATGTACGCTGGCGTCTCTCTACTTCTTCCTCCGAATCGCTGGACCACACATGTTGCCACAAGATAACGCAAAGTCAGAACTTTAGTCCTTGAGATAGGCAAGGTTCAATTTTCTGTTTTTCACAAGTGGTTTTGCAATTTTTCTATTCACTGAAAAGAATTTAGGGAAAATATCAGTAAAAAAAAATGCGTTACTGCAATGATCTTTCTAGGGCTCCATGAAATGTATACTCTTACAAGTGGTTTGCTAATAAGTACAAGTTCTTGTAATTTCTGTTTCATGGGATTCTTGTAAGTACTAGAGTAGTAAAATACATGTTTACAAGTGTTCAGTGTTGCTGCCACTCAGCCAAGCCTGAGTGAGGAAGCACCTACAACTGCCGGAACATATTGGAGGAATGCTCCACTTTATTCATGCCTATCACCTATACCAACCCAATATTGTCAACTCAGTACCCAACGAATGCAAATAAAAAACCAAAATAACTTATCTATTGATAAGTTAGATTGTTCAAAAATGAAATGCAGAGACTCATTGATCATGCATGCACCATCTTTCTAACTAATATCTTCATCAGTCTCTAAAGCAGCCAAGTAACACCTTCCCCAAGAACTTATGCAGATTTTCCCATGAATCCAGCGAGCCTAAGAGGATATGATCGAATTGCAGACAAGATAATATGTTGTATACCTGGAAATATCTGATAATAAAATATTTTAACTGTCCAGCAAACAATTTGAAACACATAACGTTGAATCTATGTCGAATCAATATTGAATGAGCGTTCGGAACATTGCTACAGCGTTGGTCCAACGTTGTCTTGTTTCCTGGGTGATTCTGCGCTCACTTGATTGAAATGGTTCAATGCTTCTTCCTCAACGTCGATGTTGAGAATGATCAGTTGAAGGAAGTGAATGATTCAGGACGAAATCGTTCGCTGAACTCAGAGAATTACAGTTAATATTAGATTGGCGCAAAATGGGAGTAAGTGTCACAGCAATACTTCGTAGTCGTAGCAAAGAATCGTATCTGAGGGCAACATAAGTTCTATTTTTACCAAGACCTCAAGGGTTGTAACTTTTCACCCATTTTTTACAAGTTACTACTTGTATTTTTGATTCTGTTTCATGGTTCTACAAGTAAAAATATCCTATTAAATGGGGGTATTTCTGCTTCTAAATACTAGTCGCAAATAGTCTTTTCATGAAACACAAACTTGTAAATTACAAGCATGCAACTAAGAACTTGCAGAATTCGGTCAAAATTTGCTTGTATAGAAAAGGTGTTCCACTTGTAAATACCAGTTAAAACTAGTATTTCCATGAAACAGTGACTTGTGATTCACAAGAAGTCTACTTGTAACTTGTAAGTTCCATGAAACAGGCCCCAGACGTCCCGCTGTCCCCCGATGAACTAAGCGGGGACGCTCAAATGTCCCGCTTTTGGGAAACGTCAGCGAAATGGCAGTGCCAACGCAGTTCAAAAGTAAAGTTCTCAAGTCAATAAATGAACGCCTGTTCTCCAATAAGGACCGCCTAAAAGGATTTGTTTCTGCAGTTTCAAGATAAAAGCAGGATGTTATCTTCCTTCCCGAGTAGGCACTGAGTTGCCTGCATACTCCAGCCACCATGAACCCTACGCGGGAATGTGAAAGAGGAGAGTGGACCGCAAATCTGTTGGCTTTTGCTAAACGCAGTGACTCCTTGCGCATCCATAGAAGAGTCAAAATCGCGTGCTCCCACACTCTCTTTCATGCTCTAATGCTCGTCTTCATCATGCACGTGGATCATAGGAGGCAGTTGGTTTTATTCTGTGGAGGAATTACCGCCTCCGGACAGGTTTCGATTACTTCTAGATGCCTTTCCCCCCGCTAATTAAAAAATTAGGACTGTTTACCTTGCGTCACGAGTAGCAATTGAATGCGTACTGTCTGTTTTTTCAATGAATTTTTATTGTTCTGTGCGGATAAAAGGCATTAGTGTTTTCTACAACTGATGCTGTTTATTCAATGAAGGTACATATTATATTGCCTGTCCTTAGCTTAGGCCTCTTAATTATTACCTACAACCATGCCTAAATAATTACAGAACCAAGGGGTGCCTATACCGGTAAACATACTTAGCATGAAGTGTAAGGTCTTCAACGAGACCTATATAATGCCAAAGAGAAAGTGTTGTTTCAACGCACTGCTACAGGAAGAATTCAAGTTTTTGAAACGAAGCAGCTCACAAAGTAAGGTTCGTTGTGAAACCTGTAGGTCTGATTTTTCAATAGCACATGGAGGACGATCAGACAAATAAGCATCTTGCGTCAGACAAAAAGCACAAGGAAGCTGTTTCTGCAACTACGACATCATCTGCATTAAGAAAATTCTTCAGGAACGCGTCGTATGGGGACAAAGAGACAGAGCTTGCAGCATCGGAAGGCGTCTTCTCATTCCATACTGTCTGCCACAGCCAATCCTTTCGATCGACAGACTGCACTTCTACCCTAATTAAGAAAATTGTCGAGCCGAAATTTTCTTGTGAAAGAACCAAAACTGAAGCAATCGTGAAGAACGTTCTGGCTCCCTGATCTGATCCCTTATCAAGATCAACTGATGTTGATGAGGCCAGCTTTGTTACTGTTTATTCGGACTCATCTAACCACAAGGACGTGAAGCTTTTCCCCGTGCTTGTCAGGAACTTGAACTCCTCGACTGACTTCAAAGTTTCTAACTGACGAAATTTCTGACACCGTCGCGGCCTACCTCACGGACACTTTGTTCAAAAACAACCTCACGAGCAAGTTGGTTGGTTTCTTTGGTGACAATACCAACAGTAACTTCGGTGGTGCTGCTCGTAAAGGAAGAGACAAGGCGTTCCCAAAGTTGGAGGTATCTATGGACGGATCCGTGGTGGATGTGGGCTGCACCGCTCACATAGTACACGACACGATCCAAACTGCAGCCGACTGTCTGCCGATTGACATCGAGGCAGTCGTTGTGAAGATTTACTCCTACTTTGACATATACACTGTGAAAGTACGGGATTGGCAAGAATTTTGTGTTACTTCGCAAGTGTGGAATACCGACGTTTCCTTCGGTACAGTAGGACAAGGTGGCTGGGGCTACAACAGGTGCTTGAGCCCCTCAAGTCATACTTCCTCTCCATGGAAAAATGCCCCGCACTGCTTGACAGTTTCTTCAGCAACCCTTTCGCTGAGGCGTGGCTGTGTTTGCTTCACAACCAAACTGCTCTCTTCCATGAGACTACGAGGCGAATTGAAGGGCAAGAGGTGACGATATTGGAAGTTTACGAAGTTCTCAGTTATCTAAAGATCAAGTGCAAGGACAAGAACAAGGCATGCATTCAGGTCTCGGCCTAGTGCCCCAGATCGAGCGAGACGTAAAGTGAGCTACATCAATCCTGCACTTGCTCAAATTGCAAGATGTCCAAAAACATTCTACAGAGTAGCCAAGTCGAATGCCGTTTGCTGGGAAACGCCGACATCCAGCTGCGTCCCTCTCTCTCTCTCTCTCCCCCGAGATCGAATGACGCGACACGGCTTTTCATGGCGCGCATTCAGCTCATCGATTCTGCTTTGATCTATTCTAAAAGGCATGGAGGTTGCACTTCTTATTTACTGCATATTTGAAATAGCGCTCCGTCTGTTGTCTCACTGTGGACAGAGTTCCACAAAGAGTGAAGCGAGCGCTTTCTGTGGTGGAGCCCCACCATTCTAGGAGAATGCAAAACCCAATGGTTTCTGAATTAGCCGAACCATCTCTCCCTATCGTTGTCGGTTAATCTGATGAAGGGTTCTCCATAAGGCTTCTCGTCGACACCGGTTCCGGAGTGTTCCTACCTTCTTTGAAACCTGGCGAAAACATTGTCCTACCATACGTGCCCTTCAACCCACTCATTTGATAGTGAGATCCGTAACTGGGCATTCTCTCGACATCAAGGGTAGCATCGACATGACCTTGACGTTTGCTGAGAAGAGTATGAATCACAGTTTCATCGCGTGCGGAGATCTTCCTGGACTCGCTGCTGCCACAAGCCCAAGGCGATGCTGCACCCTTGCAACAGGACCCAAGACCCTGGAATATTTCATTGGGTCAGGGTCTGCTTGATGCAGAATGGGATACACGCGGATCCCTCATTCCCGAGAACCAAAACATCCCCACTAGGGAGGAGAAGGAGGGTAGCGGAGGCAGTGATGGGTGGGCTGAGACCGAGCGGAGAAAGCGAGGGACACGACTCACCTGGCGCATCGGCCTTGCTGAAGAGGCATGAAGATCTAATTCCGATTATACATTGAGGGTACTGCTGATTTGGCAGTGGGCATCGAGACAGAGGACGGCACTTACTGTGGTCCACGACGAGTGATTCCTGCATGTTATACGTTCTTGCGCACGTAAAGCCACACGATTCTATGACGTGTATTTCCATGATCCCTCGGTATGACACGCATCTGATGATCATACTCGGCTGATTCTTTTCAGATTCTGCTCATTCGGTGCTAACGCCGTCTCGTCCCACAACCCAGTCCGTGTGCGTGATTTCGTCATTAACTTTTATTCTTGTAATGGCAAACTGTGATCACTAACTTCCTTGATGGTCTATTCCAAATGGCTCTTCCGTTGTTTCTATGGTAGTCGGTAACGTCGCTGCGAAGCCTATTTTTTTTTTGGCTGATAAGAACAGGTTAATGATGTTTTAAGTCGAAATGAAACATCGACCAAATTATGGGACATTCCAACTATTTCATCTCCAATGATGTTCAATGTTGTTGATGGTTTTTTCAGGAGGAGATTCATAACCTTCGCTGCATGTGTGCACTTTTTGTCTCAGACTAAAAATAGGCCACAACTCCAGTCAAGAGACTCGTCCCTATGGGCGCTGAACTGGGGAGAAAAAGGCCCCCCCCCAAAGAATGGCCAAATTTCAACTAAAGTATGGCAAATGGACAATTAGCAGAGTGATTAGTTAATTTTTCTGTCATAATACGAGGGTGGCTCAATACTTCTCGAGGTATTGAAGATATTGCCTGGCCGAGAGGACTTCGTCATTTTCCTGTAAAGATTGTGAAATGTTAATGTAGCAAACATGAAATGTGGATAAATGGGCGCCGACTCTCGGAACGATCACGAGGATTTCTTCCAATCTTTCGGCTACATTTCATTTTCACAGAATGCCATTAGCGGTTGGTTCCAGAAAGGCTCAAGTTTCCTCCGGACCTAAGTCTGCCACAATTTCACCGATCTGTTCTTTGTTTCCTGCATCAATCACTGTTTCGCTAGTTTCTTCTTTGGGAATCCAACCTGTCGTTTCTTTCAGGACTCCTTGGAGCGACTTTGCGTACTTCCTCACAAACTCACTTAAACTTCGCCGTCCACTCCGTAGAGGTTAATCTTTTTCCTTACAGGGGGAATTACGGGCTGGCCGGTCTATACCACCCAGGCGAAAGCACAAAATCATTCGACAGCCGTTGCGTCGTAATTAGTGGCGTATTTTATTGGAGGGGAGCGTCCGCCCCTTGCAAATAATTTTCTCCTCTCCTATCGCCATGGTAGGGTTTAGCACGCAATATTTCACTTTGTGGGCAAGATTCTCTTAAAAGAATGTTTTATGATAAGAGCTTTGACGGGGGACCCGAGCGATCCTCGTTATCTCCCTCACGCAGCAATTATCGCTCTCGTAGCTGCTCGCTCGCTCGCATTCTTCGACAGAACGATGTGCAGACGTGTTCGCAGTGTTCAAAAATTCCGTGGTCTTGTGCGTGTTCGTTAGAAAGTAACGAAAGTTCCATTTTAGATACTTTCAAATTCACGGAACATGATACGGTTACCCTCGTAGACGAAAACTTGTGATCGTGGGGAATAGCTCTCGTGCAAGGTGACCGGCTGAGACTCATCTCACCAGTCTCATGGCATCACCTGCTGGAACGTGAGGGATTTTTCCTTCCGCGACCAATACTTTCCAAAAATACAAATTAAGTGTTGGAATGTTGCAGGGGCCAGGACTTCGCTGTCGGCAGCGCTGTCGGCGGCTTCCGCCTCGCTCGGGTTCTCCGCGCCTCCGATCGGAAAGGGCAATTGCAAGGGCAATTGAAAGTGAAGTACTTCCAGGACAGAGCGGAGGGTGGTTTTGTCTTAGGGAGACGTGTTACTGGCATTGGTGCGACTTTAAAACGCTTTCTCGGTCTATTTATCCCTTTCCTTACCTATTCTAACCCCGTATGGGAATGATCCAGTTACGTAACACTAAATAAATTCAGTTTTGGCTCAACCCAAAAAAGAGTGGGGATAATCCTCCAAGTATTTCCACCAGATTCGATCTGTTGATTGAATGAAACAGTTCCTATGTTCTCGCATAAGGGAAATGCGTACTTTATTATAGAAAATTTTCTATATAGAAAAAATAATTTTCTTGCGTCAACCCCACCGTGAGAATTTTCCACGTAATCCTCCAAATTTTTTAAACATTCCTCTTAATTTTTTTTACATTCCTCCAGACGAGGCAAGCATCCTGATGCAGGTGACATTGGATAACGTTGCAAAAGGAAAAGAGAGCATATTCTTGCTATCCAAGAATGACGAGAAGGAAATACTGCGGCTGTTGAACCTTTCTGCGAAGGACGAAGGAATTGGAAAGACGGAAAGCAATGCATGTGCCATTCCGAAGCAAAGAAAGAGGAAGCTCAACATGGAAGATAGAGTAATGGATGATGGGAAAAAGAAGCGCTTCAAGTGAGTTTCCTATGATGGTGATTAGGAATTCGGTATTCCACTACCTCCAGAAGTGTACGAATGTCATGTGTAGGGTTAATAAATATTTCTCGAAAACTCTTCAAAAACGTAATGATCCCGTGATATGTGAGAGATTCTGCCATGCCCGCAATCATTATTTCCACTTAATTTTTTCGTAAAAGTTTTGCTTCTGAATGTAAATGAATGTTCCCTTTGCATACCTTACAATCGATTCAGGAGCCCTTATCCCAAATTGATCCTTCACTCGAGAATCATTCGATTTCACAGCAGGAACGTCTCCTCTGGAGAGAAGCTTGTGAGTGAACTGAAAGAGCCTAGTTTCGTCACAGAAACGCTAAAGAATCGAGGCGGCTGCCATTCCTCTCCAAGCTGCCCTATGCGATCCTGTGAGTCTGCAGAGTCATCGGCTTATTGGGGTGGGGAAGGGATGGAGGTGTTGCATCAACGACCTCAAGGAGATCGAAAAGCATCCTAGGTCATCGTTTCGGAATACCGTTCCTAGAGCGAGGATTTGAGTTGGGATGAAATTATCCATCAGTTCGTGCACAAGGGTGTGTCAATAAGTCACCGTAGCGAAACCGTTTATCTTTTTATCGTGCTTCATACTTTCGTGGCCCCGCCAATAAATGGCTCACCCAATGAACTCTCGACCGACTGAATGTTGAAGAAATGACTTGAACGTATATGATTGCACGTACGAAATTCCAGGAAACGAGTGTGCAACATTGAGGTTTAGAAGCATGGAGATTAATACCACTATCTTTTCATATTTTGCTCTTCGAAGTCTATGCACTTTGCAGTTTCCCTTGCCAAGCCGTCATCTTTAGGAAAACCTAGTAGCGAATCGGTTTCCATCGGTTGATCCAAATACCAGTAGAAACACTGTACCTGCCAACCGCCATGTTGAAAAACCAAAACATGGAAAACTCATGTTCTGCATGGCAAACCCCCCTCCCAAAAGTGCACTAAGTAACTCCTTATGCAGTTGCTGTCCTTCAACAAAGTAGGCTGATATGGGATTAGTGGACTGGGTGGGCATTCATAAGGTGGTCTTAGTTTTACCAACATAGCATTTTCGTCTGATCTTGCTCATCTATATTTTTCATCACTTGGCTAAATCAGAATTGCGAATGTGAGGTGTATAGGATGGAAACTGATAGTCAATGATTGAAGGTATGTCACAGATGACCTGCTTTGAACTCATTTTTCTCCCCCTCTAAACTTGTTGCATTTTCTTTTCACACCTAATCACCCGCCTCCTAAATGAATCTTGAACGAGCATCATTCTCGTGGATTTTATTTCCTCTCACTTTTATATACCAGTGCACCAAGTTGCCCCTACTTCGAATGCCAGGAGGCTCGACATGCACGTGGCTTCAGAGACCCGCCGCATCATAACACCAAGAAATGTTGTCGCGGCTAGAACCAGTTCTTCGTGCTCAAAGCAATCAAAGCACACGAAAACAGGTGAATTCCTCTTTGTTCTGTTAATACCTTGACGCCACACAATATATAACACTTCGAATCAGGTGGGAACCGCCACGCCTACATATGCCCCCTCTGCGGCCTGGCCATCCCAAACGGCAGGCTCTTCGACCACTGCAAATCCAAGAAGCAGCAGCTGACCCACCCTCATCGCTCCAACCTGATCATCATGCAGTTCACCCAGAAAGCGCTGGGACGCCTCCACAAGACCCCGTGGACCAAGGACGAGATGAAACGGAGGAAGCGGGAGTGGCCGTGCAAGGTGTGCGGCAAGGAAACGAAGGACGTCAAGAAGCACATCGTCAAGAACCACGAAGACGACCGAAGGAAGGCGGCTGAATTGGCAGCATTGTCCATCGTGGAACATCTTGTAAACTTTTTTTTT